TATATATGCATATATACCCTAAGTATCAATATATTGGAAAGATAAGTTTAACATATTTTTATAAAGATAATCTAAAAGAACAAGAACAATCATCTATGTGTTTGTTATTTTAATAGAAATTAGCTTATCTACTTCATGACATCAGAAATTAATAGTGTTCGGAAATTGACAACAAGCTTAAGAAGGCAAGTTAGGATCATGAAGAAGTGAATAGAAATGCAACCTACTGAAAGATTGTCCAAGAACATGGGACATCATGATCATTTTGAGATGATTCAAGAGGAAAGTTCGTAAATGAGTGTACTTGATTCATCCAATCCACATAGAATAATAGGATAATCAAGAAGATAAGTGAAAAACCATATTTACCATAACCAGATAGTCCTTAGGAGAGCAACAAGAAAGGAAATATTGCAGATGCATCCTGCCTCTGTTGTAACATTAGACTACATGAAATGTGTGGTGACCCAAGGTGATGCTGACAGTAGAGACCTAAATACTTGTTCCCTTTATTTTGACATTTTATATAGGTGATGCTCATTCTTTTGATAATGAGTGGAAAAGTGAAGTTTTGAAGTTCAAGCCTAGTGGACGACCATGCAATCTAGAAAACACTAGAATTCGAAGTGTGGGTCATGATAATTCAGGGCCACGAGAACTCAAAAGGAGGTAAAAGTTGTTTCTAACAGTGTGCTCTTAAAGGGTATTTAAAAGTTATGTACTGTGTGTTGGGGAGATAGCTCATTCAGTAAAGGTAATCTCATGTAATCTCAAGGACCTGAGTTTGATCACCAAAACCTGTGTTTAAAAAAATAGCCAGACAGAGTAGCATGCACTTGTAATCCAGATCCCTGAGTCTCACTGGCCAACCAGCCTTGCCTATCATTTGAGTCATAACCTAAAGAATGGTAACCAAAAATCTTTATGACCTGTACAAGTGCACATGAACATGAACCTACTCACTCATGTATTCTTACCCCACCCCCACAAACATACAACAACAATTTTATGTAACTACCTCTTATCAGGTTCTTAAGAATATTTAAGTTGTATCTACAGAATCTTTTTGTTTGTTTGTTTTATTTTTTGAGACAGGGTTTCTCTGTGTAGCTTTGGAGTCTATTCTGGCACTCACTCTGTAGACTAGGCTGGCCTTGAACTCACAGAGATCCTCCTGCCTCTGCCTCCCCAGTGCTGGGATTAAAGGTGTGTGCCACCAACACCTGGCCTCTACAGTATCTTTTAGGAAAAAAGTAACAACTTTATATTGAGTCTTAAGTACTCCATGTAAATCAAAATTTTGTTTCTAAAAGCAAATAAATACTATTTTAGAACTATTCTTAATCATCAGGGCAAAAATAGAAGATAAAAATCCTTAAGAAATTTTATATACTGTGATGTAGTTATCTTGTGATACAACTCCTAATGTGAATATTCAAAGTCATACATGTCACACCAGGTTAAGATATTTATATAGACACTATAAAAGGAAAGGATTGTATTTAGAAAACTTAACTTCCTTACCAAGTCAAAATCCAGCATTTAATTATTAATGAATTTTAAATACTTTCACAGTATGCAAAAGTATTATGTAAGTATTTCATGAAATATGGTATTTTATGTGCACTAGATATGTGCATTTAGATATATTTTACAAAAACTTTTATCTTCTTTGAAATTGCTTTTGGAATAACAGGGAAAAACAAATTTATTGAAACCACATATGAAAATTTATGGTGCTTTTATAAATTTAGTACATATTCTGAAGTTAATTTAAGTTCTTGCGAGAAACTTCAACAGCCCTGGAAACAGAAATCCACTCTAGCTGGGTGGTGGTGGTGCATGCCTTTAATTCCAGCAATCAGAGGCAGAGGCAAGTGAATCTCTGTGAGTTTGAGGCCAGCCTGGTCTACAGATCGAGTTCCAGAACAGCCTCCAAAGCAATACAGAGAAACCCTGTCTCAAAACACCAGAGGGAAAAAGAAAAAAAAAAAAAAAAGGACTTGTTCAGGAATTTAGAGCCTGAATGCTTTCTACTATATGACTTAAAAATTTGCCTGTATCTTTTTGGTAATATTTGTCACAGATTAAAAACTTTTGGTTAAACATTTAACATTACTATATTTAAACACAAAATTAGGGCCCAGTTAGAGAGCATGTTCATTTTGGATGTTCTATAAATTTGTGGCCCTAGTAGCTGCATTTTCTGTTAGTTCTGTCCATTCGGAATTTCAGAAATGAATTTCCACATGATAAAGTGTGCTGGCCAACATATTAACTATTGGATATGTGTGACTACTGAATTCCTTTTGACATGTGGGTGGCACAACTCAGGAGCTGAATTAAGTGTAAATGTTACTAGAAGCTCCCATTTTTACATTGTTTAAGCTGCAAGTGATTCAGTATATCTTGAATAAAATAACTCCTTCCTTCTTCAATGTTCAATAAAATATTTTTCTAAGTTTTTAAGGAACTTTAAGGATTAAACTATAATGGCTTTTAACTTGAGTATTTTTAAATGGTATTAATTGTCGTATATATATTTCTTAGAGAGAAAATTCATCGAAGTTCAGCCCTTGAGAATGGAAGACGACAAAACGTTTTTGTGGACAAACTCAATGTCAAAGGATCACCTGGGAAAATCACCAAAAAATAAATAGCCATGCATTTCATTTGTTTAGTTGGTTGTTTTAACAAAAGAAGTCATGGTGCTAGGTAATAACATAATACAAAAGACCAATCTGTTGTTGAATTGATACTGTACTTAGCAACTTTCTTCTGAATCTTAATGTTCTCGTACGTTTTAGCTTTACATTGTTCATACTTTAGGAATAAAATTTTGATGTTCAACAATGTAATTAAATTGGTAAACATTCTATATTAAACAAAACTTTTTAAGACATACTAACTTTAAAATGCACATGCTGATTTTGCTTTCTCGGTTATTTTGATATGTAGTACAAATATATATACACTTGTTTACTTACCATGGTTGATTATGGTTCTGAACTAGTTCTGTCATTTAGCTTGGTACAAAAGTAGGATGTTAAAATAAAATGCACTCAAGCCATGTGGATGGTGGCACATGCCTTTAATCCCAGTGCTCTGGAGGCAGAGACAGGTAGATCTTTGAGTTTTAGGACAGCCAAGGCAACACAAAGAAGCCCTGTCTCAAAAAACCAAAAAATAAAATACACTTAGTGTCTGCTAACATCCACAGTAGAGTGATTTGAATCAAAGTTTAGTCTTTCTCAAATTTTGTAATGTGCTATATACTTGCCTAACTTTAAAACCTTAAAATAATAAAACTATATTAGTGATCCAGGCAAGGTAGCTCACAACTCTGATCCAAACATCCTAAAGAATGAGGAAGAACTGCTGAGAGTTTGAAGTCCTGAACTATAGAGTGTGCAACAATATCCCAAAAATTATATATACAAATATATACACACAATATATAATACACACAATATACATTAGTATTTTATAAGAAATTTTTACTATGAAAAAGAACAAGAATAATCAGTTGTTTTCAAGAAAATATTTTGAATTGCTAACATATATGAATTTTGTTACTATTTCTGCATATAGTATAGGATTTGTTCCATACCACATTCATACAGTTTATCATCATTTAAATATCATTTCTCTTAAAATTTTAATGTGCATATTTCTGTCTTGTCAAAATTCAATGAGAGATTCCTTTTACATTTAGAAAAGTACATTTTCTGGTCTGAAAACTAGAATAATTGATTTTTCTCAAAATTTGTTAGCTGTGTATTTGAGCAAGGAATTAATAATTCAGTTGCTCCCCTTATAATTATACCACTTTAAAAAATCATTTAGCCTTTTACTCTGGTATGCAAGCACTAATCTATAGAAGTTGGGGATGAAGTTTTTAAGAATATAGAGATCTTAATCCTTTCATAATTTTTATCAAGGAAAAAAATGACCAAAAAATGCAGTATCATTTTATAAGCCTCAGCGTTTTCTAAGGAGTAAAACTATGCTCATATTTTACAAATGGACTATAATATATGCTTAGTTTTATTGATCTTTAATTATGTCCTTAATTGGTCATTAAAATAAAAAGTGTTCATTTAATAACCAAACTTGATAATGTATTAGTTAAAACGTTCCTCTTGCATGGTTTACTAAAGCAATAACATAACATTGGGAAGTTGTTATAATGCATAAGTGTATTTTTCATTTTATGTGTGTGTGTGCATGTATGTGACTGCATATTTGTGTGTGGGTTCACATGCACATGTGTGTATGACCTCAGGTGGTATTCTTCAGTTGCCATTCACCTTATTTTTGAAATGAGGTCACTCTTTGGCCTAGTACTCAACCATTAAACTTTTTGTCTGGTTACTCAGCCATAGGAATTTCTGTGCCTCACTTCCCAGAACTTGAATTACAAGCACAACCACCACCCTCATCTTTTTCACGTGGGTACTCAGGATCCAGCGCAGGCCCTTGTGATCACAAGACAAGCATTTTCCCAACTGAGCCATCTCCCTAGCTAAAAGGCTGAGGGTTTTTTGTTTGTTTGTTTGTTTGGTTGGTTTTGTTTTTACATCCCAAAGTTTCCCCTTCCTCCCTCCCTTCCTCCCTCCCTTCCTCCCTCCCTTCTGTCCTCCTTCACAGTTCCTCCTCCTCTACCACCACCACTCCCCAGCCCACTCCACCACTGTTCTTCAGAAATCAGCAGGCCTCCCATGGATATCAGCCAGCCAGTGTATAGAAAGTTGCAGTGAGACTAGACACTTCTCCCTCTTCTATTAAGGTTGGACAAAGCAATCCAGTTGGAGGAAGGAGTCCCAAAAGCTAGCAACAGTCAGAGACAGCCCCTGCTTCCACTGTTAGGAGTCTCACATGAAGACCAAGTTACACCACTGTAGCATATGTGCAGAGGGCCTAGGTCAGTCCCAACAGGCTCCCTGGTTGTAGGTTCAGTCCCTGTGAGCCCCTATGAACCCAGGTTAGTTGGTTTTGTGTGTGTGTGTGTGTGTGTGTGTGTGTGTGTGTGTGTGTGTGTGTGTTTGTGTGTGTGTGTGTGTGTGATGCCTTTGATACCATTGGGTCCTGTAATCCTCCTCCTCTTCCTCATGATTCCCTGAGATCTGCCTATTGTTTGGCAGTTTCCATCAATTGCTGGGTAAAGCCTCTCTGATGACATTTGGGCTAGGCACCAATCTATGAGTATAGCAAATATCATTAGGAATCTAATGGCCCTCAGGGTTGGAGGAGCCCTGAGAGCTCCCTGTCAGGATATGGGGCTCCAGCTGTGTAAAGGCTTACTTTTTAAACAATTCCTTTGCATAACTTGATTTGATAGGGCAAAATCTCAAAAGATAACTTAATCTCCTTTTGCCTAAATCATAAGATACCACGGCAATATTTCCTAAGTTTCATAATAACTGAACATAGAAAGCCATAAATAAAAGTGTTTTCCAAATATGTTGCTGAGTACATGATATGGTATATCAAAGCTGGGCAAGTCTGTGATGCACACCTGATGGGATTATATGACATTCTTGAAATTACAAAAAGATTTTTGTTTAATAGTGACAAAGATGGGGGACTATTTGTCAAAAAGAAGGAAGATTAGGAGAGGTACCAGATAAGGAGAAAGGTTAAATGTGAGCAAAGTATAATTGTTGGTACGAAAACAACTTTGTCTTTTTTTTTTTTAAGATATATTTATTTTATGTGTAAGTACTCTTATCTGCATGTACAACTTTGTGCCACAAGAGGGCATCAGGTACCACTAAGGTGGTTGTGAGTCACCATGTGGTTGCTGGGCCATCTCTCCAGGCCTAGAAACTCTAATCTCAAAAGAGGTGAGATAATTTATTCTGGAGTCAAATATGAGTGACTATGACCTGAGAACACAGATTCCAGATTCCCCAAATACTATGTTCCAACATGGTAATAGTACTGTGAAGATAAGACTTTTCAAATATGACATTGAAAACATTAGGTAGGTGGGTTATAGCAAAATGGAGAGAAATCTCTGTTTAGGCCTCAGATGCTATCTGATGACCTTATTCTTAGCCTTTGATTAATGGAGGTTACTGGTCTTTTAAATTTATATATTCCAAAAGGTTTCACCAGATAGCCACAAGGATGTTCAGACTCAGAGCCAGGCAAGGAATGACTATTGGGGTGCTAAAGGCAGCCCAGGAAAAATTGTGATTAGGTTCTGGACATTCCAAACCCTCTACAAACATTGACATTCTAGGTTGATAATTAGCCTTACAAAAGATTCAGTTTAAGGTTTGGTTTTGTAACCAGGCAGAAATGAAGATACTCTGAGGAGACATTTGTGCCTCTTGATCCACCAGACTCTTCAAACAATGGATCCCAAAGAAATAGGAATTTTCCCAGGAATCTCATGCTGGGAGAAGGAAAAGGTGCTAGCCACTGGGAGACCTTCCCTGCCAGAAAGAGATGTCATGAAATTCTGACACTTATCAAATCACCTTACAGGATGAGAATGAAACCTGGAGGATGGCTCAGTTGTTGGCAAGACCATACTTTGACCAGGACTGTTCAGATGTGCATATCCTTGGTGCTCTATAAACTTAAACCTCACTTCAATAGTCTGAACATGAACTTGGGTGTTCACTAGGTTTCTCTGTCCCTCTTCCCAATGTGGCCAAGTTGAGTATCTCTTTGTTTTGCTTTCCACTTTTAATTTGGCTATTTTAATAGACTGTTGATGACAGGTGACTGGGCCTGGCTTAGGACACAGGTTGTGACTGAATGAAAATGAGGACGTGTTAATCACACTGGGTAAGAGTAAGACCAGTACCACAATTTTGAGCCAAATTTGAAGCAAGCTTTAATTACATAATTAAAGGCAGGATGATGGATTCTGGCCAAGTCAATTCTAGAGTTTCCAGAAAATGGCCACAAGCTATGTTGGGCAGGTGCTTATAAAGGCAAACCCACAAGACTATGTACTTCCCACGTTCATCCAACCAAGGGCAAGCATACATTTTGATTTACTTTCTGCCTACATACCTCCTGCCTACATGTGATCAAGCACATCTGGTGTAGGTGGGTTAACCAAACAAGGAGCTTGTTATCTTACATAAACCACAGCCTCTAGCATCTCAGAAAGTGTCTGTCCTTAGGCAAGGGGTTTAGAGGCTAGAGACATTTTTGTTTTTTGGATCTCCTAGGCACATTAATTAAAACAACTCTGGCTCTCACACATGACCACTCCTAGGTAGGGTTGAGGAGAAGGGTTTTATTGTATATATGAAGAACACAGCCGGAGGCATCTGGAAAAATCCAGACTGAATATGGCCAACAGAACAGGCCCCAGGCCAGCCAGGAGCCAAGACAGCACGTAGGAACCAAGAGAGCCTGTAGCCAAAGTAGAGTTATATAGGGATTGAAAGTTAAGAGAAGGGAAGCAAGGGCTAACCTCTGGGATGAAGAGGTTTAGGGTTGTGGCAGAATGAGAAGGGCTAGGAGGAGTCACAGGTACTGAGTGAGACTTGTCACAGGTTTCTTTGGGACCTGACAGTGACATACACTCCCATCCCAAAATTTTGTAACAGTTTCTGTGAATTTTCATTCACAATATACTTGTATGAGATTGTCTAGCTAAAATATATACATAAACCACAAAGGTGGACAATGAATGGCTATTTGTCTTCAGACTTGCAGCACAATCAGAGAAATTTTTTAAAGACTTGTAGAATCTTTAACACAAGCATTTTTTTGGGGGGGAACCTTACTAACCAGCTGATCAAGCATCACATTTTGTGTTCTATGGCACTAGGAAGGCCCATTGTTTGGATTTTTATTTTTTAAAAAAATGCAGGCTTTAGGGCAGAAACCCTAAACCAAAACCTGAAAGACTCACTATCACAATTAACAAAGAATAAAGATAGCAGATGAAAGAAGCACATTTTAACCAGCTATACCCATGATCATTTTTAACTAATGTTTCCCAAGTGTCTATGTATCTTGAACTCTATGAAATATTTTGTTAGGGGTATTTAAATTATCTTTTTAGTTCTCTCTTTGCCACTTTGATTCAATTACTACCACTTCATATGTAGTAGTTAGGTTTTTTCCCCCTTTCATTGAAACTAGATACTTTTTTCTCATATACTATATCCTGATCACAATTTCCCCTCTCTCTACTCCCAGTTCCTCCACACTTCCCCTCCCATCAAAATCTACTTCCTTTCTGTATTTCCTTAGAAAAGAAAGAAGCTTTTAAGATAATATACTATAATGTTATACAAAACAATATATATAATTATATAATATAATACAATAAATATAACATGAAATGAAAACCACATTGGAATTGGACCAAACAAACAGAAGGAAAAAAGCCAAAAAAAAAAATAGGCACAAGAATCAAAGACCTGGGGGCTGGAGAGATGGCTCAGAGTTTAAGCGCACTGGCTGCTCTTCCAGGGGTCCTGAGTTCAATTCCCAGCAATCAAATGGTGGCTCACAACCATCTGTGATGAGATCTGGTGCCCTCTTTCTGACTTGCAGGCATACATGCAGACAGAACACTGTATATATAATAAATAAATCTTTAAAAAAATCAAAGATCCATTTGTTTGCATACTCAGAACCCCACAGGAACATTAAACTGGAAGCCATAACACATACTGCTAGCCCTGTGCTTGCTGCCTCAATCTCTGAGTCCATAGGAGCTTTGATCTTGCAGATTTAGAGGGCCTTGTTCTGGTGTCCTCCATTCCCTTTGGTGCTTATAGGTTTCTGAACCTTGAAGGGAGGGATTTTTGTGGAGACATCCCATTTAGGCTTGAGTGTTGCAAGGTCTCTCACTCTCTGCATAATATATCTATTTGTTCCCATCTTGCAGGAGGAAGCTTCTCTGCTGGTGGGTAAACAAGGCACTAATCTATGATTATAACAGAACAACATTAGGAGTCATGTTATTGCTACATTCTTTTAGTAGAACAGTAATCCTTGGTTTTTACCCTAGGTCTCTAGACTATCTAGTCTCTGTTCTTGGTCACTCTACCAATGTTACATATGGATTCTATCTTGTGGAGTGGGCCTTGAGTCAAATCAGATATTGGTTGGTTACCCCACCAGTTTTGTGCAACCACTACATTAGCATGTCTTGCAGTTAGGACACCATTATAGATCAAACTATTTGCAGCCAAGTTGGTTTTACGTTTCTCCATTGGTAGCATGCAGAGTACCTTCCTGTACTAAAGACACCAACTAGAACATAGGGTTGAAGACTTTGTAGGCACCAGCTTGACTTTTCCATATTCAATGAATTGTAAAGGTGTTATCTTCAGGAATGGGGCCTTTTTTTCAGCAACCTAGAGTCTTGGCAACAGCCTGGATTATCCAAAGGGACCCCTTTGGCCAACAAATTAATTATATGTAACCCAATCCCTAAACTGAAAGCTTCATTTGATATAAAGAGGTGGCCAGTTAGGGCTTTGTCTCTCCAATTATCTGGTGATTTCATTTAGATCACATTCATATATGTGTATATTTTAGGAAGTTTCTATTGTATTAGGTTTCCATACTACCCCTCAAATGGCCCTTAACTGTGTCTCTACATTTTCCTTCCCCTCCCCACTTGACACTCCAGCTCCATCCATCCATCCATCCATAACTATCTAGTCTATTTCTCTTTGCTAATGAGACTTAACTGTTCCCTGAGTCCCTTACTCTATACCTAACCTCTGTGATATAGACTGTAGCTTGGTTATCATTGACTTAAGAGCTAATATCCACATAAGCAAACACACACCACATTTCTCTTTCTGGTTCTGGGGTAACTCTCAGTGCCACAGTCTGACCAGCAGCTGGAGTTTAGGCCCTGAGACAGGGAAGGGGAATTGACAGAACAACTGTCCAATCACCCGATGAATTTCACATAAGTGGTTGACCCCGGGCTCAAGCCATCTTTATTTATACTTCAAAAATAAGCATGTTTTTTCTGACCTTCCAGGATTAACCTTAGGCAAAAAGAAATATATGAAATATGGGTTTTTCCCAATTTTTATTTCAAAACAGCTTTTAAACCAAAAACAACACTAAGAATTTTTCTAGCTTGGCTAAATATTAAGTCAGGCACAGCCTGTGCTTACAAACCTAAAAGATAAGCATAGGCACACATTCTCAAGAACAGTATCGTTCAAAATTTAACAAAGCATATTTACTTTAGTTTGTATTTCTCTGTTCTTTAGTCCCACAAAAGGGTTCTACATTATCCTCTCTATAAGAAACCTGAGAAGCATCAGTTCCCAAAGAATTTTAGGGGAAATTATTGGAGAAAAAAATGGGTTTCTGGGAATGATCAAATCTGTCCCATGCATGACTGACAAAGTGACACTAAAAACTACCAAGAGAATCAACATTATGAGAGAAAAGACTGTGCAGGCCATGCAGTCCCAGCAATATTCTACACTGTCCCAAGGTCTATTGATCCTTGTCCAGTGAGAGACCATCTCTGTGAGCTTTGCCTCATTGAGACCCATTGGACAAGTGTTTATATATGCTGATCTGAAACTTGGATACATGGGTCCCAACATCTAAGGATGATTTTATCTAGTTGCATCCATTTACCTGTGAATTTCATGATCTCACTTTTTTAAAGACTGAATGAATATTCTACCATTATGTTAATATACCACATTCTCTTTACCACACTTCAGGTAAGGGATATTTAGGAAATTGGTAAAGGGTTTCCAGTTTCTGGCTATTATGCCTGAAGCAGCAATGAACATGGATGAGAAAATGTCTCTTTTGGGATATATGCCCAAGTATGATTGAAAGGACCAGACCCTCACCCAGCCCCCTGAATAGAAGCCATGAAAAGATGCAGAAAAGACTCAGCAACTCGTGCTTGCTTGACCTTGCCCCTCCTCCCAGTCACTAGGAGGTCAGATACCCTCCAGGTGGCAAGGAACCAATCAGAAGTTAGCTGGAGGACTTTAGGTGCCCTTTACAAAGCTTGTAACAGTGCCTTGCAGAGCATAGCAACCACTCTGGGAGGGCCTCTAGGCCATAACAACCAGTTGACCAGTCAACACAGGACAGGTCACCTAATCCCAGAAGCACACCAATCCTGAGACTATTGCATACCCCTAGACACTTCCCTTGCTCTGCCCAATAAATTCCCCGCCAAGCGGCCCTTTGGATTCCTTCTCATTCTACCCACTGTGATGAATGGATGAAAGGCCTGAGTTAATAATAATAATTAACTCATTAATAAAAGACTCTTTGTGGCTCCTGCCCAACTCCCACCATCAACCCATTGGATCTCTCTAAGACCTGTGCCTGTCATAGAGTAGACACACTCAGACAAAGAGGATCTCCATGAGTCCAGAAACACCTCACTTTTCTTTCCCCCTCTGCCTTGACCTCTGCTGAGGGAGAATACCAGGAGAGGCAAGACCATTCAGAGTTGCAGACACTGAAGTCTTGACCCATGTCACCACTGGGTGACAAAAGGAGATAGAGAGACCCCCAACTGCACCCACTGGAAAAAGATAAGGGAAGAAGACAGAATAAAAACACAACAACAGAAAAACCAATATAACACCACCAAAATCTAGGGGCGACACACCAGCAAGATCTGAAGAGCACAACACAAGAAGAAGAAGAAGAAGAAGAAGAAGAAGAAGAAGAAGAAGAAGAAGAAGAAGAAGAAGAAGAAGAAAAGACGATGATTTCTGGGCCTGGGCTGTGGAGGGCCCATTCGGCATTCAAGGCCCTGAGAGAGCCACAGTGTGTGTTTTTATGTCTGAGGCTCCTGATATCATTGCACGGTTAGCCCCGCCCCTCACTGACTGGAACACTAGGGAAAACTGTCCTGCCTTTCACTGGCTGAAGCACTCAGGAGAGAGTCCTACACCTACCCCATCTGCTGACCCTGTTCTGAGAGTCACGAGTGAGCTGGCCCTTAGGGCATGAGAATGAGAGAGCAGGTCGCACCATTTTGTGAGCCATGTGGAGGCATTGGTGAGGGAAAGAGTCCCCCCTCTCCTCATCCCTTGACACCTGCAGCAAGTTGGGGACCTGACCCAACCCCTCACCAGCTGCAGCACTAATATAGATTGTGTACTTCTTCCACTTAAATTGTGATAAACGTTATCTCCATTGTTATGCAGATAAAACAATCAGATTTAAATTTTTCTGCTTTTGTTTCCTTCTATTGAATAAGGGTCTCACTGTGTAGTCTTGTCTGGCTTGGAACTCTATGTAGATCAGACTAGCCTGGAAAGCAGAAAGATCCACCTCGCTCTCCCTCCGACGTGTTGCTATTAATGCAGTGCGCCACCATGCCCGACGCATTTTTTATACAGCGATGATTTTTAAAGGGACAAAGGGACTAGACTATCTCCACTCATCAGTACCTCCCGGTGACAGTCCATTGCAACAACTACACTTTCTCCTCCTGACCAGGAGACGGCGCGCTGTAGCCGGAGAGCAGCCCGAGACGCCTCTCCTTCTGCCTTTCTCTAGCCGCCCTCCTGACCTTCCTCCCGGAAGTGCTCTGCGGCCCGGGGTGCCGGCGTGACTTTGAGCGCTTCCGGCTCTGCTGCCGGTGCTGGAGCGGAGCAGAGCCGAGCCGGAGCCCTGGAAGTGGCTAATCCAGGCTTGCCATGCGACTGTTGAGGGTCGCCACGGCCCTGGGGCGTGGGCCCCTCCCGCGGGCCCCTGCGGTCCTGGGCAGGCAGGGGAAGCAGGTACTGGTGTCCGGCGACCCTTTCCCTTACCCGGGATCTTGAACGGCGCTGTCGGGAGCCCCGAAAGCCACTGGGTCCCCGCGCGCCAGCCCGGCCTTGAGAATTGCAGCCCTGCGCTGGGGTCCCCGGCTTCTTGATGGGTGTGCTCTACTTTAAAGAGAAGTGCCCCGAGTGAAGTCGGATGAAAAGTCAGTGGCCCCGGGGCTCAAGGAATTGGACTCGTTGTCCAGTGCTCTTCTGACTACTAAGTAGGGTTGGATGCTCTGAGAGGGCGCTGTATTCTTTGGTTGGCGCTCAGCTTCCCGGTGCTCTGCTCCAGTCACGTCTCCCACTTAGGTGTATAAATTAAACTCTGTAAGCCTTTGGAATGAGGTACTCCGGGCAGGGCAGCCACGGGTAGATGTGGTGCCTCACCTATCATGTAACAGGTGCCTTACCTCGTTTATTTTGTTATCACGTGTCTCTGTGGCTTAATCATCCAAACACTTGTCAATTGTCTACTTTTCCATGTTGTCAGTTTCCCTCTTCCCAGAAGTGGTTGCAAAGCGTTTGGGTGTGGAGTTTTGTTTTGATTCAATAAATACATCCTCTCTCCCCACTGTAAAGTTAGCAGGAACAACTGTCACCAGAAAAAAAAAAAAAAAAAAAAAAAAAACTTCACTTTTTCGTGCAGATGAACTTGGGAACTTTTGGGGTTATCTTGGGCAGTTAATTGTGTATGTCCTTATATACCCTTGCTAGATGTGAACCACAGGAAGGGGGAAGACAGAAAACCCAAGGTGCATTTTAACCTAAAACTTGTATTTCTTATTAAAGGGGTCCTTGAGAGGTATCGTTCTGATTTTAAAACCAAGGTCTGGGGCAGACAAGATGTGCTCAGATGTAAGGGCAGTTGTCAAGCATGACAACTTGAGTATCGGTCTTGAGACTCACATATTGGAGGGGCCTCATCTGACTCCTTCAAATTGTCCTTTTGACCTACACGGAGCATACTTCACAGAGCAATAAAGCATACTTCCAGAGGAAGAGTTCAAGTCCCAGCTTTCACATGAGGCTCAGAATGGTCTATAACTCCAGTTCCAGGGATCCAAGGCTCTCTTCAGCTCTCCACCTGTACCAGGAATGCATGTGGTGTACAGAAAGACATGCAAGAAAAACAAAATAAATAGATCTAAGGAGTTTAAAACTAACATTTGACAATACCATTTCCCCCGCTTTTATTTTTTTGAGTATTATTGAGAATTAAGTCCAGGGTTCTGTATATAATACCCTTTGCATTGAGATTGAGAAAAAAAAATCCATAGTTCCCATTTGAACTTTAAAAACTGTTTTTCAGGCAAATTGGAAGGCCTACCGATGGTGTTCGTCAGGAATAATTCCCAATGAGAAAATACGAAATATTGGAATCTCAGCTCACATCGATTCTGGGAAGACGACATTAACAGAGCGTGTGCTATACTACACTGGCAGGATTGCTGCGATGCATGAGGTGTGTGGTCAGTGGTTGGTTCCAGAGTGACTAAGAACTTGATTTTTATTGTTTTGTAGTTACAGTTTTATAACTGTCACAAAACCTGGGTCATAGAGGATCGTTGGCCAAAGTCATATGTACAAAAAGGGGAGGTTAAGCTGGCTTTCTGTCACTGTGAATAATCTCCCTAGAAGAGAGAGGTCACCGTGAGTGTCCTGAGTAAATGTTGAGTCAGTGTCATGGACCCTTACACAGCTGTTAACAATAGCCTTAACTATGTAATGAAGGATACTTGCTTATAAAGTTACATGGGAAGTGAATTACAAAGGGTGCTGTCGACATTAAGAAACACAGCTTAATGGAAATACAAGTTTACTCTGGAGCCATTTTGAGTGAATGTGGCCCGGGGAACACAGATTTAATTTACCTTAAATTCTATGTTCTGACATGGAAACACTCTCATAATGTTTTAGTGTTAATGAACAAAGAAAGCTATAAATCAAGACAAGTTTAAAATGCACTGGTGGGTACCCCAGACAGGCAGGCTCGTGAGATGTAGGATACTCTCTGGTAACATTCTTTTTTTTTCGAGACAGGGTTTCTCTGTGTAACAGTCCTGGCTGTCCTGGAACTCACTTTGTAGACCACACTGGCCTTGAACTCATTGAAATCTGCCTGCCTCTGCCTCTGGAGTGCTGGGATTAAAGGTGTATGCCACCTCTGCCTGGCTCTGATAGCATTCTTAGCTTCAGAATTGGAAGAAGCTAGCTAGTGTCCTAAGTCAGTAGCTTCTGAGGGGTTTTATTTATTATTACAAGGTGTCAGGGCAGATACAGAGTGGGGCAACTGATGCCTGGATGTTCCAGAAGATTAAAGCTAGCCCAATGTAAGGTAAATAACTTCTGAACCTACAGAATTTCAGTCTCTCTACAGTAGTGAAATTCTGATTGGTTCAGTAGTCTCTGCAGGCACAGACTCCTTCAGCCACAGCCAGACACAGCTTCCCTTGGGGGATTTTTGTTCACAGTGTTGAGTAAAAGCTATATTAAAAACCCTGTCAGAAAAAGATTGTTTAAAATATTGACATTTGAAAGATACTGCCATACCATGGAGTGAGTTACCCCTCCAGTTTAAACTATTCTTCAGGTGAAGATCACCCAATAAAGCATACACTTAAAAGCTGAGCCCTAACTTTTTGTGCCTCAGAATCCATGTGGAACAGAGCTAAAAGGTCTGCTGCCTGAGTCTCTATTCAGAGATTCTGCAAAGCCCGCAGACAGCAGTCCAGAGGGAACCCGCCATCAGTTTATGAAATGATACGGTTAAACTATCGGGCTTACTTAACAGTAGTGTGTGTTAGCTTTGTTATCCAAATCCATTTCAGTAAAGATTTCTTCTTTGGGATAAAAGGAAACTCTGACTTTTTGTCTCATGTTTAGGTGAAAGGTAAAGACGGAGTTGGCGCTGTCATGGATTCAATGGAACTAGAGAGACAGAGAGGAATCACTATCCAGTCAGCAGCTACCTATACCATGTGGAAAGATATCAATATCAATATTATAGATACCCCTGGTAAGCGGCCCTTTGTTCCCTAGTTCCTTTGGGCAAAAGTATATGTAGTTCTTTCTTCTGCTATGACACAATCCATCTTCGAATATCACATTCTAAAAGTACAAAACTAGGATTCTTCTGTATGTTGCTTCTTTAAAAAATAACACAAGTAAGACAGGCTCTTGCCTTTAGCACATTCTAGCATTCCCTAATATCCTTTAGAAGCAGTCCTGTTGGGCCTTGAACCTGATGCTGGGTGCATAAAATTGGTGACATGAGGAGTCTGCATTACAATTTAAAGATGGGTAAAATGAGCATACATTAAAAACTTCGAATTGTGCCTGGTTAGTTTTTTGTCAATATGACACAAGCTAGAGTCAATAGGAAGATAAAATGCCACCATCAGATTGCCTCTAGGCATGTCTGTGGGGCCTTTTATCCATTGCTAGTTGATAGAGGGCCGAGCCCACTGGGCACACTCCCCAACCCCCTCCCCACATGTGCACAGGTGGGCTAAGCAAGCCAGTATACAGCCTCCATGATCTCTGCTTTAGTTCCTGTGTCCAGGTTCCTGCTCTGAGTTTCTGCATGGTTTCCCTCTTGGTGGTCTGCAACCTGTAAGCCAAATAAACCCTTTCCTCTCCAGGTTGCTTTTGATCATGGTGTTTTATCCAAAAAAAAAAAAAAAAAAAAAAGGCGGTGGGGTTGGAACTGACTCATACAGATCTTGGGACAGGTTGTGGTTACTATTGTGACAGACCTGACCTGTTGTTTCCGAGAGAGGGTTGTGGGAGCACTGTGGAACTTTAAGCTGAGAAAGCCATTGAGTGGTTAGAACTAACGGGTTATTGTGGCTGCTTAGAAAGTAGGAATTCTAAAAGAGATGCTGATGAGTGCTTGTGAAGCTCCAGAAGGATACGAAGGCAGCATCAGGACCACTTATGGGATTTTTTGAACTAAGAATGCAGGGTCTAGAGGGGGGGGGTGGGGGGGGGTGGTGGGGGGGGGGGGGGGGGGGGGGGGTCTGGTCAGCTGGGGATGAAGATTCAGTTGTGATTAAGACATATGACTGAGGTAAAACATTTGCTCTGCTGTGACAATCCATGCTGGTCAGCCGGAGGTTAGAACTTAGCAGTAATTGAGAAAAAGCCAGCATCCCTGAGGTGAAATCTGGGAGTATATCCCAGGGTCAGCACACAAAAGCTATAGTCCAGGGAGGACCAAGATTTCATGTCATGCTGGCACTGAACTTGCTAACGTGTAAGTCATCCAAGTAGAGCTGGTTTTGACAGCATGAAGGGGTATTGGAGAGCAGCTGGAACTTGGCTCTGTCAGAGACCATTGGTGTGAGTGCAGCTCCAGGTGCAGTAGAAGGCCCAAGATTGACAGGGTCATGGAGAGAGGTTGAGGCTTGGCGTCATGTGATAGGGTTAGCCCTGAAGAGATCCTTATGAGAGGCTGTGGGTGGGGATGCAGCCCAGTTTCAGTGGAGACCCCAGCATTTTGGAGGTGCCAATACTGCAGGATGACCCCAGGGACAGCAGGCATCTGTGGAGTGGAGCTGGCCTGAATCTAGGAGAGGAGCTGTGTGTGTTGTGGATGGTAGAGCCGGATAAGTGGAGCTGCCCAAGCTCTTTGGAACTTTTCTGCTCTTGAAGTTTGCTCTTGTTCTGACTTGATCGTGCTGTGTGCTGACTCTTCCCTCTTAGAATAAGAAAGTATTTGTGTTTTTATTTCACAGAACCCACAGTTAGGAGATGGTGGCTATCTTAGAGAGTCTTTAGACTTTTAAAGACTGGGACTTTTAAATTTGTAATGGTATGTCAGGTTGACAAGAGATCAGTTGTCTTGATTTGATTTTTTTTTTTTTTTTTTTTTTTTTTTTTTTTTTTTTTTTTGGTCACATTGACATAAGCTAGAGTCAGATGGGAACAGAAACCTCATTTGTGAAAATACCTATGTCAGATTGCCTGTGGGAAATTCTATGGGGACATTTCTTAATTTCTGATGGAGAGGAAAGCCCTGGGGGAGGTCACCCCCTAGGCAGGTGATTTGGGGTCCTATAAGAAAGTGGGTGGAGCTAGCCACGAGGAGCAAGTGAGTAAGAAACCATGGTCTCAGCCTCCATTCCTGCCTTGACTTTCTACCTTGGCTCCCCGGGATGGTGGCCTATAATGTGTATGCCAGGTTAACCCTTTACTCTCCAGGTTATTTTTGCACAGTGTTTTATCACAGCAACAGGAAACCTAACCATGGCAAATAGTTTGTATATTAAGAATTCAAACTGTTCTTTAAAACCCTCCTCTTTTAGGCCATGTGGACTTCACAATAGAAGTGGAAAGGGCCCTGCGGGTGTTGGATGGTGCCATCCTTGTTCTCTGTGCTGTTGGTGGAGTACAGTGCCAGACCATGACTGTCAATCGTCAGATGAAGCGCTACAACGTTCCGTTTTTAACCTTCATTAACAAGCTGGACCGATTGGGCTCCAACCCAGCCAGGGCCCTTCAACAAATGAGGTACTGAAGCCTCCAGAGTGCTGATCTAGACAGCAAACCTCATATTCAGGACAATTAATTCAGTTATTCAGTTAAATCCTAAAGGTTTTTTTGTTTTGTTTTGTTTTGTTTTGTTTTGTTTTCTTGTTTCAGAAGTGTGTTTCTGTGTCTTAGTAAATGGAACAACCTCAGTGGTTTAATTTACCCTGTCCTTCGTCAGCTGCCTTCTCTGAGAAATGGGGAAAGCGTGTCATAGTTGATTCTGGGGTAGTTGATTCCAGAACACTCCAGCAGTTTCTGCTGCTATGCTCCAGCCAGGGAAGTTGTAGCTGCTAGAGGTACTTGCTTTATCTTTAGTTAAACCTGGGGAAGGTTTTGGTTTTAACAAATGTAGCAAACATTTTTACACAGTGGAGCTGACAGACCTAGCTGGAACTTCCGTGATGGCACATGGCTGAGAGTGGCACGTCTGATGACAAAAACCTGAGGGAGGGTGTATCTGCTAATGGGAAAGAGACATTTATATTCTCTAGGTGTTTGAAATATTTCCTTGGTAAAAATCTTTCTACCAGTTCTTTTTCTGTTTTTTGAGGAGCTTCTCCTTTCTTTCTACATTATTTAATTACTCTGGTCCTTTGACTTCTGTTTGTCTTTCTCATTTTGGAACTCTTGTGAAGCAGATTTGGGATGTAGATCTGGCCTTCATGTCTTGTCTTCTGTCATACTTTCTTACTTTCAAACATTTCCCTTTTATTATGCACTGGCTCATGGGAGACATTAGCGTGTGTATGTGGTGTGTGTGTGTATGTGGTGTGTGTGTGTATGTGGGGTGTGTGTGTGTGTGTGTGTGCCTGCGTGCGATGAGTGGGGGTGCCATGCCATTCACTACGCGGGCTCCAGTGTAATTGAATTCTGAGTTGTCAAGCTTTCATGGAGAGTATCTCTAGTAATTGAGCAACCTTACTGGCCTAAACAGAACTTTTGAGGTTAATTTTTTACTCATGAATTTGATAGTCATCTGTGACTTTTCTGTTACTTAGACTTTTGAAGATATCCAGCAGTTTTATAGCTAATTCCCATAAATTCTTCATTATTGTAGCATTATTTTTCTTAGAGGTACTTTACAGATCTCTAAGTTTGGTCTGGGGAAATAACTTAGTGGTAGAGCTCTTGCCTAGCATGTGTCAGGCCTTGGTTTAATCCCTAGTAAAAGGTTCAGGTTTTAAAGCTGACCGGCTCTACCTCTTTAAGAGACAGACCCCGCCCCCTGACAACAGTCAGGCACACACAGGCCATCAACAGCCATCAACACATCACTGGTCACGCATTAGGACTCTGTGCATGTGTGAAGCTTCAGTACGCATGCATGCGTGGTCTTCCCTTTAAAGTTCCAACTTCCCCCTGCCTCTCTCTCTCTGCCTCTTCTCTCTTCCTTCCTTCACTTCTCTCTGTACACACTCTCTCTTCTCTCTACTCTCTCTTCCCTGCTCTTCTTTTCTCCCACCTATGCACTCTCTCTCTCTATGGCGACTGGCCATGGTGGTCAGCCATTAACCCTGTTTCTCATCTCTCTTAGTTTCTCTACTCTGCCGGGCCTATAATAAACTGGTTAACATGTCTAATAAGTCTCATTTTGCGCTCTTTCTCTTCTTTATTTCTAATTTAAGCAAAAGAATAGCACCTAGCACTTCAAAAATCTTGATCTAAGTCTTATTTTCTTTCCTCTGGTAACTATCTTGGATATTAATGCATTTTAAAAAAATATATTTAGGTAGTTATTTTTATTTATGTGTCTGTGCAAGTGTATACCATGAGTGCCGGTGTCCAGGGAGGTGAGAAGGAGGTGTTAGACCTCCTGGAATTTGTTGTGGAGGTGTCCCCCCAGAATTCTCCTTGTCTCCTAGACCCACCTATCTTCCTGCCTCATTGGCGGAACAGTGTTTTATTCATCAACCAATAAGAGAAACATATATACAGAAGGACGACCCCCATCAGGAGCTGGAGTTACAGGCAGTTTTGAACTCGCTGGCAGATGCTGAGAAACCAGTTCAGGTCCTCTAGAAGAGCTTTTAACCACTAAGCCATCTTTTCAGCCCCAGATATTAGTACATGCCTTATGCTAACCCTTTTTCTGTAAGCTCCTGACCTCTTTCAACACTAGTCATGTCCTCTTAGCTCTGTCTTTAGTTACACATGGAGACCTAGCTTACACTAAATGGTGCCACCAGAATGTATTTCTTCTCAAGGTAGAGTCCCACTTGGTAACTGTGGTCACTTCAGTGCACATGGGCAGTAGTGGGCTGATGTTTGCCTCTGAGAACTCCCTCTCTGAATGGCTGAATGACTGTTTTCCTGTCTCTTGATTTAAGAGTGAGAACTAGGTTTCTATCCCACCATCTTTAGTTTCCTGGCTATTAGTTTTTGTGTCTTTCCCTTCTGCTCTGATTGAGCATATTCAGGGAGTCTGGGATAAAGGTTATTTTGGGTTCTTTGTTGTTGCGGGAGTGGGTGAGGCTCTTATTTTCTTTTTAGCCCCTGAGTTTAGCTGCCTGCTGCAGTTACTTTACTTTTGTTATTTCAAAATAATTTTGAGAGAAGAAGCAAACAAATACTTTTTTTTTTTTTTTTTTTTTCAGATCCAAACTAAACCACAATGCAGCATTTGTGCAGATACCCATTGGTTTGGAGGGTGATTTTAAGGGTATTATAGACCTCATTGAGGAACGAGCTATATACTTTGATGGAGACTTCGGGTAAGTGCTAAAATACACTACTAAAATTTTATATTTTAAAAAACATCAAAAAAAAAAGGAAGACATAAGTTAAACACAGACTAATTATCTTTTTTACATGTGCCTGAATGTCATTCTTTAAGGTGATTTTAATGACCTAAAATTAATTTTTTAGTATTCATTTTAGAGAGTATATGTCACTTCTTTGGAATACACTCATAAAATACACTACTAAAATCTTATATTTTAAAAAAATAAAAAAAAGGAAGACATAAGTTAAACACAGACTAATTATCTTTTTTACATGTGCCTGAATGTCATTCTTTAAGGTGATTTTAATGACCTAAAATTAATTTTTTAGTATTCATTCTAGAGAGTATATGTCACTTTTTGGAATACACTCATATATTATATCGTGCATTCATGAGCCTCTACCCCTGTTTTTGGGGAGGTATTCCTACTTACCTCAGGCTTAGCTTGGGCTTACTATATTGGGCTAGGAATGTACCTCAGTGAGAGAGCACAGGCTAGACTTCAACTCATTATCCTCCTACCTCAGCTTCCCAAGTGCTGGGATTACAATCTGGAGTAAGAAATTAATCAAGCATAATGTATTCTTCAACCTTAACACCAGTTCTTGACTCATCTAGATCCATGGTTCTCAACCCTCTTAATGCTGCAACCCCTTAATACAGTTCCTCAGGTTTTGGTGACCCCCAATGATGAAATTATTTTGCTGCTACTTCATAACTGATTTTGCTACTATTATGAGTCATAATGTAAATATCTGATATGCAGGCTATTTGATATATGACCCTCTGAGCAAGTGGTCATGGCCCACAGGCTGGGAACTGCTGCTAGTCTAGGAGCTGAAAAGGAAAGTAATAAAACACACCAGCTGTAACAACTGGAAGGTCTAACATATTTGATTCTCAAAGTATTTCAAGCTATTTATTTTAAAATAGAAAGCTATACCTGATGGTAGAAGCCTATCAGCCTAGCCCTTAAGAGCTGAGACTGGAGCAAGCTTAGGCCAGCTTTGGCTGCACAAGCAAGATTCTGCCTCAGGACTATTTTTTACTGCCATCTAACTGGAAAACAGGCAAAGAAAAGAAAACACCATGTGTTTACTACCTGAATTATAACAGCATGAAACTGCTGCTGATACCATGAGAAAGTTTCTAACATCTGCACTTTAAATGAGAAAGCTGGTTTAAACACGCCAAGTCAATATCAGCCAGCTTTCAAGCTAACCTGTTTGAAACTTGTATAATATCAGGTTTTTAGAAATTCTATTAGCAAGGGACCTTAAGCTTTTGAAAATTCTATTAACAAGGGACCTAAGATTTGAAGGCTGAATTCTTTAAGATACTAAAGCCTTTTTGTCTATTCTGAACCGCTACAACCTGTCCTAATGGGGTGGGGTGGGCTCTGAGGCAGAATCTTGCTTGTGTTGCTCTTTTTGAGACAGGGTCTCTCCCGGCTGGCCTGGAACTTGTCATATATGTAGACCAGGCTGTTCTCAAACTCATAGAGATCTGACTGCCTCTGCCTCCTGAGTACTGGGACCAAAGGCATGTGCTACCACACTCAGTTCCCAAGTCACTGTTTTGACATCATGTTCTGTGGTTCATTTTAATCTCTGGAATAAGATAAGCCATTTGGTATTAAATTGGGAAGGGTTTATATTTCATCATGTGTCTATCATTCTGAAAAACTTGATATGCAGAAAAATAGGACATGATGCCTTATAACATCAAGGAGACTGCTTTGTTTCCCTCATAGTGGACAGTGTTGAGTTTAGGCTTTTCTGTTCCCTGCTAGTACATCCTTGAGCAAATGACTCGGTCCGTTAAAATGGTTTTGCCCACTGTTTTGTCTGAATTGTAAAGAAGTGGCTGACATCTTTGCTGTTGGAATGCCTCAGAGCTTTTGTCAGAACAGCAACAAAACACTTTAGCTGTTGACATACCTTTGATGTTTTATGTTTGACTGAACATTCCTAGAGTTACTACAGTAAAACATTCTTTTTCTTAGTCAGATTGTTCGATATGGCGAGATTCCAGCAGAATTGAGGGCTGCAGCAGCTGACCACCGGCAGGAACTAATTGAATGTGTTGCTAATTCAGATGAGCAGCTTGGTGAGCTGTTCCTGGAAGAAAAAATCCCCTCGGTTTCTGATTTAAAGGCAAGTAAGCTCAAAATAGATCTTTTAAAAAACATTTTTAAAAATGTATGTGGGCTTTTTTTTTTTCTTTTTATTTTTTTTTGCCTGCATGCAGTTCCTATGTAGGCCAGAGGAGGGCATTGTATTCCCCAGAACTGGAGTTGCAGATGATTGTAAATGGCTTTGTGGATGCTTGGAATTGAACTCTGGTACTTTGGAAGAATAGTCAGTGCTCTTAACCAATAGGCCATCTTTCCAGCTCCTTGAGTCTTATGTAATGAAAAGAGGTTGATGTGGGAGCAGGGGACATGATTCTTTTGTTAATGGGCTTTATTAATGAAATCTGATTTAAAAAATTAATATAATTGACTTCCATAAAAATGAAGATTCTTGCCAGAGACTTTTGAGTAAACATTTCCCCGAAGAAGATATTCAAGTGTTGGTGCATGAAAAGTTGTGACAGCTCCTGCAGATCTACCAAGGAAGCTCAGGCTGTCTGATGTAGACACTGGTAATCCCAGCCCTGGGAGACTGAGACAGGAAAACCCCAAGTTTGAGGTCAGCCTGGGCTGCATAGGTAGGCCATGGTTCAAAAAATCTAAACCAAACTGAACAAAATGAAAGTGAGAGAAACTCACTGCCCAAGATGACTTTTGGGGTCTACTCAGCATGTACTCAAGTTTTGGTCTCTCGAAGGAAAGCGTTTAACACCCACCATATTGTGCAGAGCATCAGCTGAGCAAACAACTGCTACCCACTCACAGTGATGCAGATCTTTCAGAGACCCGTGCAGGCCACGCTGTGGAGGGTGCAGGCCTGCATTTCCTCAGGTCTTGTGGGCATGTGTTAGCTTCTGTGCTGTGGCTATGGCTGGATGCTTACTGAGGTGTTGGAAAAGAGCAACTTTAAAGGTGAAAATGATTGTTATGAAAACAAGGGAAATCTTGGAAAATGGAGACTTTGTTAGACTGTTTTGTGGGATGGGTTTGATTTATCCTACTTTCCCCTTATTTACCACCCTCATATGATTCTGTGTTTTATGGGTGTAGACTAAGTGTCCTAATGGTACTGAGTCCCTATTTGCATATTAGAGAAATGGTGAGACATTATATGAAATGACTTGATAGCCTAATTGCTTGTCCCATAGTCATATCTGAGTACTAGAAACAGCACAAGTGTTGAAGTAATTTCAAGCAGCACCTGTTTACTCTATATATCTCTCCCTTTTTATATCCCTGTTCATGTGCTCAGTTCTTATCTGACTTTTATTATAGTGATATTTAAAAATTGTGGCTATGAATGTTTTGTTCTAAGGTTTTGTGCTCATTTGGGAGTGCATGGGTGTGCTCCGGTGTTTGGTAGTGGTTCTAAGTCTTGAACCACTTGGTGGTGCAGGCTTTTTATTGCCCTTGGGAACAGAGGCAGGCAGATCTCAATGAGTTTGAGGCCAGCCAGGAACATCTAATAAGACCTAGTCTCAAACAACAACAATAGCAGTTTAAGGGACAGAGTAGTTTATCTGCTGACAATTTCAGGTTATAGTCCCTTCTTACTGGGAAGTCAGCTGGAACTTGAGAGCGCTGGTTTAGTGGTTCTAAGTCTTGAACCACTTGGTGGTGCAGGCTTTTTATTGCCCTTGGGAACAGAGGCAGGCAGATCTCAATGAGTTTGAGGCCAGCCAGGAACATCTAATAAGACCTAGTCTCAAACAACAACAATAGCAGTTTAAGGGACAGAGTAGTTTATCTGCTGACAATTTCAGGTTATAGTCCCTTCTTACTGGGAAGTCAGCTGGAACTTGAGAGCGCTGGTTACAGTACATCCATTCAGAAGTGAGCAGTAGATCGCACAGTACATCCATTTAGAAGTGAGCAGTGGATCTCACAGTACATCCATTCAGAAGTGAGCAGTAGATCGCACAGCACATCCATTTAGGAAGTGAGCAGTGGATCGCACAGTACATCCATTCAGAAGTGAGCAGTAGATCGCACAGTACATCCATTTAGAAGTGAGCAGTGGATCTCACAGTACATCCATTCAGAAGTGAGCAGTAGATCGCACAGTACATGCATTCAGAAGCAGAGAGAGCAGTGGATCGATGCATGCATGCCTATATTCAGCTCAGTTTTTCTTTTTCATTCAGTCCAGGACCCAGCCTATGAGATGGTGCCTCCCACATTCAGTGTGGGTCTTCCTGCCTCAATTAATGTTATCAAAATAATCCCCCAAAGACATTTTCGGGGGTGAGGTTTTACCCCTCCCGTGATTCTGAACTGTGTCAAGTTGACAATTAAAACTAGCCTTCACAAAGAAGGATGACAGTAAATTCTCCCTTATCCCATAAGACTATTTCTCTACCTTGTTCTAAAACATGTTTCTGATAAGTCCAGAGATTAGATTCTTGCTTTTGTTTGTTTTGTTTGTGAGACAGGGTCTTACTATGTAACCTTGACTGGATGGCTTTGTACTCATAGAGATCCACCTGCCTCTGCCTCCAAGTACTGGGATTAATGGCCTATGTTACCACACCCAGCTTTGTTTGTGTTTCTGTGTGTACACCTCTTTTAGTACCAAATAAAAAGGAACAATTTTAGGGCTGTCAAAAGTAATTATTCCATAAATCACTACTTGGCCCTAAGAAAAGCAATTTTCTCCCTGGTTTTCAATATGTTGACTGAGTTATTGAAATGTTACCTTATTCCTTCCCTGGAACCAGCACTCTGGAGTATCAATTCATTTTATTTATTTGTTTGTTCATAATTGACCTGAAGCATAAATTGTTATGTTAACATGAATCATTTTCTCTGTATTCTTAGATGGCAATCCGAAGAGCGACTCTGAGTCGATCCTTCACTCCTGTGTTCTTGGGAAGTGCTCTGAAGAACAAAGGAGTCCAGCCTCTTCTGGATGCTGTTTTAGAATACCTTCCCAATCCATCTGAAGTCCAGAACTATGCTATACTCAACCAGGAGTGAGTATGGCTTCCCAGACCTTGGTTTATGAAAAGATACTTTAACAGTTATACATTATGAAGAGGTTTAAGGATCGGTCTCTTATATATTCTTATGATTTTCTTTCCTCATTTACAAAAACACCATTTTAGTTGGATATCAATTTTGGTATACAGGAAAATATTTACAATATGAGTACCCATGTTATTTGTGACTTAGAAATATGATTTGTGGTCGGGCATTGGTGGCTCACGCCTTTAATCCCAGCATTTGGAAGGCAGAGGCAGGAGGATCTCTGTGAGTTTGAGGCCAGCCTGGTCTCCAGAGCGAGTGCCAGGATAGGCTCCAAAACTACACAGAGAAACCCTGTCTCGGGGGAAAAAAAAAAAAAAAAAAGAAACAAATATGATTTGTGGACTGGAGAGATGGCTCAGAGGTTAAGAGCATTGACTGATCTTCTAGAGGTCCTAAATTCAATTTCCAGCAACCACATGGTGGCTCACAACCATCTATAATTAGGTCTGATGCCCTCTTCTGTTGTGCCGGCAGAACACTGTATACATAGTAAATACATCTTTTTTTTTTTAAAAAAAGTATGATTTGTTCTATTATCTCTCAAGGTTTATATTAACTTTTTTTTCCATTCTGCATTGATTTTCAGTTATAGAACTTTTTAACTTAAAAAAAATGAAACTCAGGCTGGTGAGATAGTGTATCAGATAAAGGTGTCTGCTGCCAGGCTTCATGACCTCAATTTGAGCCCCAGGGCCCACATGGTGGAAGGAGAGAACCAACTCACAGAAGTTGTCCTCTGAGCTCTACATAGATACACATAAAATAAAATAAATAAAATGTAAAGCAACAGCAAGGAGAGAAACCTTTTTTTAAGGCTTTCCTGAATTTACTCTGCATACTCTGGGTTGTTGAACCTACCGTGGTCCCATCTGTAGAGTTACAAACCTGTAGGACCCAGTCTTTTTTTTGTTTGTTTGTTTTTGTTTGTTTTTTTTTTGGTTTTTTGAGACAGGGTTTTTTTTTGTATTGTTTTGGAGTCTGTCCTGGAACTTGCTCTGTAGACCAGGCTGGTGTTGAACTCACAGAGATCTGCCTGCCTCTGCCTCCCGAGTGCTGGGATTAAAGGTGTGCACCACCAACGCCCAGCTAGTTCCCAGTCTTATTGAACCCTTTCAGTGAAACTCTGTACATCAGAAGCTGTTAGCAGACATGCACTTTTCCTCTTTGACAAGAGCACATTGGTAGGGATGAAATATTAAGGGGTAAGTAGATGGCTCAGCGGGTAAGGTGCTTTCTGCTGAAGTGAAGATACATAGGTAAGAAGCCGTGTTTGATGGCGTGTTTGCAAAGACCTGCGGTAGTATGGAAGGGGCAAGTGAAGACTGGAGGGTCATGCTAGCTGGCTGCCAGACTAGCGACAGGGTCTGTGAGAAACCCTGTCTCAGAAGAACACAACAGAGTGATGGAGCAGGATAACTGAAGTCATCTCCTGGCCCTCCATCCATGCACGCAGATACATGCATACATACACATGTATATATTACCACATGTACACAACACATGCAGAGACATGCTATGTATTATGTTTTATAGTTTTATATTTCTTTTATTTAAAGTGACTCAAAGGAGAAGACCAAAATCTTAATGAACTCCAAAAGAGACAATTCCCACCCATTTGTGGGCCTGGCTTTTAAACTTGAGGTAAGATGCTATCTAACATATTTACTCTATGTGTAGTTTTCTCTTACTGGGCTCTTAGCCCTATTATAAAATGACTCTGTGTGCCCGTGTGAAATACTTAGGGAAGTAGAAGACATAAAAATGGCCAGAACCTTTAATGGTAAATTGATAGTTCCTTGTTTTTAGATGCAGTTAACTCTTTGCAGTTTTAAAATGTAAAGTTTTACAGAAGCTGTACTCACATAATTTTACCTTGGTATTTCTATTTAAATTAGCTATAGAGACAATCCATGTTTCTGTAAATTGTTGGAAGATTTAATTTATTGTTTTGTGTTGGGTCTTGTATGTAGCCCAAATTCACAATCCTCTTGCTACAGCCTCTTGAGATGTGGGGTGACAGGAATGTGCCATCACGGCCAGCTTAGTTTAAACATTTTAAGTGGTATTATAAAGTTATATTAAGTAGCTGAGGGTGGTGACAAACACCTTAATCCCAGCACAGGGATTAAAATGCCAGGCAGAGACAGGCAGATTGCTAAATTTAAAGCCAGCCTAGTCTACATACATAAAGACTTCCAGGACAGCCAGGGTTACCCTGTCTCAAAAAACAAATACACAACAAGTATGTTAAGTAAATATGCCATAATTGGCTTAAAATTATCTAATTTGTGGACATTATTATTAACAAAAGTGGGTCCACTTTTAGAAAAAAATATTTGTCTTGAGTCACTTATGAATGGACTCAACCTAGCTCTGTTTTTAATACCAAAATCTATAGGTAGTTGTGACTGTATACGTATTGCTGTTTGTGTAAGTAAATTGCAGGGTATCTTTATAATGCAAATATTATTTAGACCTTAAAAATTAAGAAAATTATTTTAATGATTTATTTATTTTTAGTTTACATGTTTTGTATGCATAGTCTGTGTACCATCTTGTGTGCAGTGCCCATGGAGGTCGAAGAGGGTGTTGATCCTCTGGAGCGGGAGTTATAGACAGTTGTGAGTTGCCATGTGGGTACTGGGAACTGAACCCGGATCCTCTGCAAGAGCAGCAAGTGCTCTTCTCTGCTAAGCCATTGCTCCAGCCAAGATGCCGACCTATTTTTTGACATGGGAAGTTATTTATGAATTTTAAAAGAACATATTTTAGATTTTCAGAAAAATCATAAAGATTTGTACATTTCTTCTTAGTAAATATTATTACAACTAATGGAATAATATTAATTTACTATTAATAAAACTAATAGAATAATATTAATTTACTACTAATACCAAATATTTATGGTTATTTTGTTTATATCACCTTTTTGTAATACATTCAGCTAGCACATTAGATTAAGTTATCTTGTCTTCTTAAGCTCTTGTCCTAGCTAGTTTTATATCACTTTAACATAATCTAGAATCACTTTGGAAAAGGGAACTTCAACTGAGAAAATAATCCTACCAGCTTGGCCTGTAGTGCATTTTCTTGAATGATGGTTGATGTAGGCAGTGCCATCTTTGGGCAGTGATACTAGGTTCTATAAGAAAGCAAACTGAGCAAGCCATGGGGGACAAGCCAATAAGCAGCTCCCTTTCATGACCTCTGCATCAGCTCCTGCCTCCAGGTTCTGGCCCTGCTTGAATTCCTGTGGTGATGTCCCTCAGTGTTGGACTCTGCTGGAACTCTAAATGGAAGTAAACTCTTCCTCCCCAGCTGCTTCTGACCATGGTGTTTATCACACACAGCAATGGAAGCCAAAGACAGTTACTATAAAGCATCCTTAGATTTTTTTCTCTTGCTTCCCATGTCCTTGATGTTTTTGAGAAGGGCTAGTCCAGGATGTCTTTCATTTTGAGACTTCCTGATGTTTCTGTGAGGATTAGATTGGGGCAATGGGTGGCAGGAGTGTGACTGCAGAGGAACGTGTCATCCTCGACACATACCAAGTATGCAGCTTTTACTATTAGGGTGACCTTGTTCACCTGACTTAGGTAGGATTTGTCAGGTTTATTCCCCTATAAAATTGCTCTTTGTTTTCTTTCCCTTTCTTACTACACACTTTAAAAAGAAGTTGTTGTGTTTGGCTGTTAAATGACTTCTCAAGAGGAAAGAAACAAGTATCTATTCACCCAAATAGGGCATCAATGACTGACCAAACACATTTGTCCACCTAAGTCTATCTAGCTTGGTGAGCCAGTGAGTTTGCTGGGGCAGCCTACAGGAGCATGGGGGGCCCCTAGACAGCTTCAGCACTAAAAACTCCACCCCATGGTGATGCTTGCTGAAAACTATGTCCCTGGAATCTGCCCAGCTGGCAGGCTGCAGCACAGAGGCATCACCTCTTCTCCAGGTACTGTTTCTGCTTCTAACCACAGGGAGGCACTCATGATCTTAGAATGTTCTGAGCTCTCTGAGTCTTGCAAGGTTAATTAGTTTCCTGGGTTTCATGAGCTTGACTCTTCTCTCCAGGCAGGAATGTGGAGGAAATGCATCCGTTGGCAGGAAATGGCTGCTTTCTATATGTTTATAGTACAGTTATATTTTGTTTAGTTTTATTTTAATTAGTGTTTGTGTGTGAGAGTGTATGCAAAGGAATGCAGGTGCCCACAGCGGCTGGAAGAGGGAATCAGATTCCATAAAGCTAGAGTTATAGGCAGTGTAAGCTGACCAATGTGGGTGCTGGGAGCTGACCTTGGAGGAGCAATAGGTACCGCAGAGCCATTTCTTTTTTTGGTAAATTTAAAAATCTTTTATCCTTTTATTATGAAGGTCAAGGTGTTTTACTTATTTATGTAAACTTTTGCTACACATTTGGATTTTAAAAACAATTGGCTTTTAAATTTATAGTAAAGTATTTCATTTTTAAATTGGGGGCTCTCTTTGTATATATTTTGGTGATAGATACTTTTATTTCTGGTTTCATCTCTTCATTGTTAAGATAGCTGGAATTTGTTTAGATTTGTGAGATTGAATCTTTTCTCTTTTGTTCTTCTAAAAGTGCACTCTTGACTTGTAGGCAGGCCGTTTTGGACAGTTAACTTACGTCCGCAATTATCAGGGTGAACTAAAGAAGGGTGACACCATCTACAACACGAGGACAGGGAAGAAGGTTCGAGTGCAGCGGTTAGTTCGCATGCATGCCGACATGATGGAGGCAAGTATATCCCTGAGACTGCTGGCTTCTTTTTTTTTTTTTATTTTAATTAGAAAGAAAGTTTTTTTACATATCAATCCCAGGTCCCCCTCCCTCCCCTCTCCCCCCCCCA